TAGAATAGCGCGTTTGCAAAACCGGCAGAGAAGATCAAAACTCTTACAATACTGAGTTTATTCCAATGGTCAATCCAGCCTCCGAAATTGTTCTGTGTAAGTTCTTGGTCACTTTCTAAGCTCAAAAATCCTTTGAGTTTTTTGATAGTTCCAAACATCGCTCCAATAGTAAATGGCAAAACCGCAATAGAGAGCACTCCACTTATAATTGAGGATTGTCGAGCGGCAGATCCCGGATTAGACAAATATGCTTCATACATATAGCAAAGAAAACTAGTTATAGCAGCCACAGGCATTAATTTAGAACTGTCGTCATACATTCTTTCCCACAATTTAAGTTGAAGTTTTCGGTGGAATGTCCTTTTGACGTATATTTGGAACAAATATACTCGAAATAACAATATTTCCACCAAAAAAGATAGATTGGGAAACTAATCCGACTGCAAGTACAGGCGTAATTGACATGTTAACTGGATATGTTTGATTTTGTAAACTAAAGTGTCCTGGAATAAAGGAAGATAGAAAAAGTGGCACCAACATAATGATCATTTTAATTTATGACACAAAAATACAGACGAATCCGAGTTCAAATGATTGCAACTAGAGAATTAGTTTAGTTTGTTTGAATAATATCAAATTCGATCGTGGCCTTGTAAGTTGCATATGTTGAACTCGTCATTTTATGATATATGGGGTAAAAAAGTAATATCTAGATCAATACATTTTGTTGCATAAAACTAAATGACAACTGGATTAAAACAAAAGAATTTACAGGATTAGTACTTTCCCATATCAAAAATTCAAATAAATAGCTCTCATATATACTTTGATATTATATATTACACTTTTCTCTTATAAAAGAAAATCAAACTGAATTATCACATTGATAATGAATGTTATTTCATTTTATCTACCAATAAGTATCTTATAATTTGCTCGGCTCAAAGACTACTCTTCCCTTTATTTTTCCTTTCGCCAAGTTTTCCATGTATTCTGGTAATGATGACATTGACACTACTGAAGAAAGCGGTTTAATTCTGCCTTGTGCAACCCAATTCATACATTCTTCTTGTTCCTGAGATGTGCCTCCAAACGAAAAAGTAACCTTAATTTCCCTCCTTGCTAGCTCATAATTCTTGAAAAATAGCTTGGACCTTCCTAAGCCAACCGGCATAATTCTCCCTCTCTGCTTGACGTACATCTGACAAGTATCAAAAGTGTCTTGTAACCCGCAGAAATCAAAACAAATATCGAAAGATTCCTCTTTATGCTTGGATTCACGAAGGTTTTGATAAAATTCAGAAGCACCAAACTCTTTAGCTAATTCTGTAGTTTCGCTTTTCACGTCAACGGCGACTATGTAACATCCATAATTACGGAGTATTTGCAATGCATTGAGACCTAATCCCCCAGTTCCAATGACTAATACTTTAGAGGTGGGAGATAAATCATTTTTGGCTCTGTTAATAGCGTGAAAAGGTGTCAAGACCGCATCAGAAGTAATTGCAGCCTGTTCGTACGAAACCCCGTTTGGAATTGGAATCAATCCGTTCAAGTTTTTTACCAACAAATATTTTTGAAATCCTCCATTAGTGTTTAATCCATATGCTCCTTCTGAATTCAAGCAGTTATTGTCACTACCACCACGACAATTCAGACAAGTACGACAAAATATTGGAATGCTCACCGCTACACGAAGTCCTAATTTATATTTACTAGGCACCCCTTCCTTACCAATCTCAACAATTTGGCCCGCAATCTCATGTCCCATAACAAACTCCTCTGGAACGTGCTTCTCTTGGGCATATAAAATATGGAGATCACTTTGGCATAACCCGGCCGCTTTCACCTCTATCAAAACTTCTCCCGAAGCTGGGCGGGAAACTGGCCAATTATCATAACGTTGTATTTTCTTCAGCCCACGCTTAAATCCATAAGCAACCTGAGTACGTGGTATAGACATTTTATTAATTAATATTCTTAGAAAAACTGAAAAACTACATGAATTGAAATTTCAGCTTATCCACTAAAGGTTTGTGCGCGGGGTAATATCGGTACATGGTATTTCCAAGTTTTAGACGTTTTTACCGCTGAATTACATGATCTCATATCAGAAATCTAGGAATGTTCTGAAACATTGTTTAGTAAATCCAATTCATCAAAGTATAATTTACTAGTAAGCTACTAATAGATAAGAAATTTGAAAAATGAAATTTCAAATTACTTCTTTGATAAGATATAGTGGGTTCTGGAAATAGCGGAACTAATCGCCATATGTTCAGCACGATCCTACAGAGTCAAAATTAAGATATAAAATTAACTATTATGTAGAATCTAATGATAGATTACCTGCTATAATCGTTTTAGGAAGTTCCGATAATAAATTCTATGTCGCGACAAAGCTCATAATTTGTTGCACTTTTATCGATAATAGATCCATAAATAGTTACTGAAAATCATATATGTACTTTTCAATAGAGACAAATAGTATTTTGTGAGACTTTGAGAAATGCCAAAAAAACAAAAGCAGTATACGGAAACAGATAGATTGTTAGAAGGACAAGGTTGGTTGGAGAATGATATTCAAGGGAGTACATCTAGGTCCGTATCAGTGTCATTAACTACACTTCTGGCCGAACTTAAGTATATTTTAACCAATTCTCCTCTTATAGTGGTTACCTTATTGCTTCAGTTTTCTTTAAACTTTATTTCTATTTACTATGTTAAACAATTTGGAGAAAATAAATTAGCTGCAGCCTCGCTTTCCAACACAATTTACTACGTTAGTGGATCGGCGATATTTAATGGATTTGCTACGTCATTAGATACGTTATGTAGCCAGGCCTACGGAGCTAAAAATTATTATAATGTTGGTTTATATTGTCAGAGGTGCTTTCTATTAATGTTGATTGTATTGGTTCCACTTACCTTTTTCCATTTCAATTGCGCAACTACGTTTATCAAAAGATTTTTCGTAGACGACCCAGAAATTGTCGAAAGCTGCAATGCATACATGAGGATCTTGATTTTGGGTTCCCCAGGTCTTGTATTGTTTGAAGTCCTGAAAAGGTTTGTTCAAAGTCAAGGGATTTTCCATCCTCCTGCTGTCGCCTTGGCGTGTTTGTCCCCGATAAACCTTGCTTTTAATAGCTTTGCAGTTCCTCGTTATGGGTATTTGGCAGTCCCATCATTAATAGCATTAAATTATTGGTCAATGGGAATAGGTCTTTTGATTTATATTATGTACACAAAAAATAGT